ACACATCACTGTGGAAGGAATTAGCTGCTCCTCTTATTTCCTGGGTGCACAGGACTATCAATGTCATATTTAAATGGGGATGCTTCCTATATGTTAATAATGTACTTTCATATTACCCTATTTTTGCCTTATACATACTTAACACTTTCAGAGGAATTTCAATTTCTTTTGCTATTTTAGCATTTATATTCATTATGTATTAAGTGAATATGTATGGCCGATTCTCTCTTCAAGGAGTTTTTAATCAGATCTGTTCTATTTGCTCAGACTCAGTCTCACGGCCTTCCTTGACTCTTCTGTCTTTCATATTGCTTCTCTCACCAAACTCTCTGAATTCTACCTGCCTCGGGAAATTTTGTCAACTCTTATCTACCTTATTGCTACTCTCCAGTCCCAGAGATGGTCATGTCCCACAGGAATTTCTGTGGTAACGTCTCCTGCCTGAGCTGCTTCCTGTCTTCTCATGCCAGCCCAATGATCCTGCTGGAGTTATGCCTCCTCTCTTAAACTCCACAGGAGTTTCAGCTCACTGTTAAAAACTTGACTCTTTCTGATGGCCTAATGGTCTGTTCATGGTGCAGACATTTGCTCCTTCTTCTGTCTTTGTGACTTTATATTCTGTTTCTGTCCCACATTCACCTCCACCCAACCCGTTCCATCTTTTTCTTCTCTAGTAACTTCCTAGTGTTTCTGATACATGCCAGATATAGCAAAGGCTATCCTTTCTGTCCTGCAAATTTCCACTTCCATACACTTTCATGGCTACAACCCCTCCTATGTCTTAGAGGTCTTTACTCAAATGCCATGTTTTTGTATACCCTAGACACTGCCTCTGAAATTTCAACTCCTTCCATGACACTGTGTATCTTCATTATCTGCTTTATATTCCTTAAAACACTTACCATTTAGCAGGTCATATCGCATTTATATTGCTTATTCTATATCTCCTACAAGAATGTATGCTTGCTGGATCTGTTGACACAGGAAAGTTCAAGACCAGCTACAGAGTGAGTTCAAGGTTAGCCTAGACAACATAGATGCCTGAGGTCCATCTTATGTGCAGGGATGCTATGTGAGAGCATATATTTTCGTCTGTTCTTTTTTATTGTATTGTTGGTGCTTAGAACAGCTCAGTGGCTTTACATTAAAGTGATCCCATGATCCTCCGCACTTACTTAGCTCTGACAAACTGCAACTCCCCTGTCTTCAATTTTCGTGTGTGTTTGCCCAGCCCACTAATGCACAATGTTACCTTCTGGGCCTTGGTCTTGTCTCCTCGGAGATGATGAAAACCAGGACTCTGAAAAGACTATGCTATCTCAGGCCAGCCTGGGCAACATTCCTCCCAGCTGGGTCCAGTCCTCAGGATCTGCCTTTTGCTGAAAAACACAGTGAGTTAGATACACTCTTAGGAAAGCCCTGTTCCAAGGAGAGACACAAAAGAACCACAATATAACTCATAGTTTAATTCCGGCTCCCAGAAAATTGGCCACCATCACCAGGATGCAGAATGAGCAAAAAGTTCATCATTTTTGGATGTAAATGTTTATTTTCCACTTTTACACATAATTTCTAATTAATGATGGGTGATGGATTACAGTTGGGGCTTTTACAAAATAATTAAATACTACTCCCACAGAGAATAAATAAATGAATATCTGAAATATTTCATTCCTGTGGATTGACCTTGACCAAGCAGGTAAAAACATTTAGATTACAGAAGCCCACCTGTTGCATTTAGATCATAATTGAGAGGAATGAGAATAAGAAAGGCCAAGTGATTTTCTTCTGGGGATGCACTTGTTAGAATTTCTCAAGGAGACAAAGTCATCTTTCCTGGACCAAGTACATGTACGCAGGCATCTAGAAAGAGGTAGGATTACACTCATCTTCTTTCACTTTAGGCATAGGTGGATTGCACAGGGTGTAACACCAGAGAGAGAGGCTCACAGATTAGCAATGCTTCATCTGTGTTGGAGGTCTCTGGTGCTATGTCCGCAAGGATGTGGGAATCCCTTGCCTCAATTTCCTTCCCTGCAAAGTAGTGCCTGCCTCATGGGGTTGGGAAATAAAATGAGGTCATTCAGGCATACCCCTGCAAGAAACACCTAAGTCCAATTAAGTGCTGACTAAGTTGGAATGAGTATTATTATTATTATGTTTTAACTGTAAGTGCCAAGAACACAGGGGCATCAGGTGAGTCAAGGGAGGTGGCACCCTGGAAGCAGGTCAAGAAGACACTAAATTGGAGGTGGATCAAGGATGTATTAAGGGAGAAGCAGTTGGGGTAGGAAGGGTCCTATGAGGAGTGGATGACAGTGGAGTGTTTGGAGACACCCTGGAGCATTGAGCTTGGGGTTTCTAGCAGTTACTACAGGTTGTTGAGGGGAAACTGGGAGAGGCTATATTCTAAAATCCCACCCCCAGATTCTTTCTCTTTTTCTCATAGTCTCTTAGAATCACAGAGCCAAGAGGATGAGCTCAGAGGAAGGAGCTGGCAGGAGAGAGAAGCAGCGTTCTCTATGTGTAGCCAGTTAAAGCCACTCAGCAGGAGGCGGGTAGGAAACATTCCCATTAAAAATAGAGAAGCTGAAATTCTGAACAAAAGAAAACGATAGAGTCATATAATCCAGATGAAATGCAAAAAGGCCTATCAGCCATTTGATGTTTCTGAATATCTCGGTGTCTAGCATTGTGTAGGTAAAATATCCAGCTGCTTGTCTAAATTTTCCATTTTCCATCCAGATGTTTCCATTCCTTATTGTACATGGATATATTTAATAATATTTATAGTTTAATTAGGCACTTATGAAAGCAATTATGAAGTTTGATTGGATATTCATAGTTTTGAAACTATAAAGAATGGCATAAAATGTTTGTACTGCTATAATAAAATTCTATTTTTATTTTGCAAAGATGTACTTGATTTTTCAATAGAGGAAAGAACTTCAAAAATTCAGTATCATAACAAATCTGACACATCTGTTCTTCCTGTACAGCATACTAGCACACAGGGGCCTGAATGGGTCTTGGGTCACAGACAACTGTGGGAGGACCGGCTGAATGGGCCTTGGGTCATAGATAATTGTGTGAGAACCACCTCCATGGGACAAAGGATTGGGCCGATCTATGATTTGTGCTGAGCTGAATGCTGTCTTCCTGGAGTTTCTGAGATTTCTGCTCAGAATGCATCTTCATTTCTTTCCTCCAGGCCAATTTTATTAACATTCAGAAAGAGTGCTTACATTTCTCCCACCTTCTTCTTTCTCTGTGGCTATATCTTGTTTTTCCTTCACTAATTCACGTGACCTCGTGTTGAAATGCTTCCCTAGCCTATTAGCAACCCTTGGCATACACAGTTCTGTGTTTTTACTCCCTTTGTAAGTGGTAACACTGGTAACTCAATATATTTCCCCTGGAATCTGCCTATGGCAGAAGACAATGGGCTTATTACATATATCATGTTGGACACCAGAAATATGCACACAGCCCAAGTATTCAGGAGTGATGTTGAAATGCATTTCATTGGTGATTTTGACAGTTTGTTATTAACTGGCAAGGCTGATTATTTCATTAGAATGACTCTCTTTATGGCGTCCATCCTAAAGGAGTTTTGTTGTACACCACCCAAGAGAACATGCGGTTACTTTTCTTTCTATTGATGTGTAAGTGCGTCATTCAGCCCATTGAGGAGTTTTGTTCTGTCTCTAACATGCTGCCTGTGATAGGGGCAGACTGAGCATGACACCTTTCGTGACTCATCACAAGGCCACCAGCCAACATTTCCATAACTAAAGTCAGGTTTACAAGAGAAAAACGTAAACTTATTTAATGAAAGTTTTAGGAGAAATGGAAGCCTTCAGAAATGAAGACCCTCAATACCCAGGGAAACTCCATTTTTATGTTTAGGTTCAGTTAAGAATGAACGGCTGTTCAGAAATGCACCATGACTAAGGTTGCTATAATCGTAAAGGTCTGGGTTCTTCTCGGCCTCCTTGTGTGTTGGCCCTTCTCAGGTGTTGGGCAGGACTGTTCTGGGATCAGAAAAATATCGACCTTTGTGAGTTTTATAACTTGCTTTTGGGTAAGGGTTCTAGTTCCTGTTTCCCACCTTGAGGAAGAGGAAGTTTACTTTAAAGCATTTAGTATTCTTCAGATGTCCAAACAACATAGTATGGGGTATGTTTTTCTCCTGTCAAAGTACTAACAGGCCCAAGCCTGTTTAACTTCCAGGATCCTAGGAGATTGGGTGTTTCTTGGTGGTAATTCTATAGACTTGGGTATGATTATCAGAACCCCAATATATGTATTTTTTAACTTAGGTATTGGTTAGGTGGAAATTGAAAAAGCCCAGTTTCCATGTGTTTAAATATTTGATTAGAATAAGAGCCAAGCAGAACTAGATCAGTAATATTCCCTCAGAGAAATGACTCCTGCCTGAGTGAGATGCCAGTGAGGAGATGGCTGCAACTGTCCCTCACATGCAGCCCCTTGGGGAGAGCTGGGTTTATTCAGTGTATGAGGAAAGGCTTTGGGAATGCACAGGTTTTGTTGTAGAGTTTACATTTTGAACACCTTAAGGGTTTTATTTATTGCTAAGAATTAACATCTAATTAATTTGTTAAAATGTTTCAACAACAGCAAACAAAGTAGGTAAGAGGGGGAATAAAGCAAAAAAAAAAGTTGTTGCTCTGTGCAAAAAATGAAGCTGAATTGTGCCCTGATTAATTGATTAAGCATGGTTCCTGTGGTGAATAATTATGTTCAATAACTGTCAATATCATTTGCAATCATTTATCACTTATAAAACCAGCCTATAGCAAACTTACTTTTACATGCATCTGAATGCCACTGCTGCTTTTAGGAAGCAGTCCTGACCTTTTCTTTCACAGTGTCCTTTATTCAGTAAATCACAGTTGAAATCTCTCACTTTATACCAACAAGATATACTCCTCCTACTTGGAGAAATTATCTCAAAGCTTTTTTTTTTTTTTTCCTAGAAAGTCCACTGGTCTTGGTAGCTGTGGTCAGGAAGCCATCCGACCTGCAGTAGATGCATTTTTCCCATTGTTCTACACCCTACATATTCCCATCTTTGGTGTGGCCTATAGGTGAGTGAAGAATAGTTTCCTGTCCCTTTAATTTGGGGGCTTTGCTATGTGACTTATTTTGCCCAATGGGATGTCAGTAGACATAGCAGAATCTTGATATATGCTTTAGGAGATGAGCTTGTTCTGCTGGATCCCATGTGGAATGGACCTAGGGTAGACCCTCTGTGCAGCAATGTGTTATTTCCATTCAGAACTGCGGCTGGAGGCAAGGCCACATGGAGTTTATGAAACCAAAACATATCCTCTAAGTATGAGGATAAATGCTCATTGGCACATGCGTTGACTTTGGGTTTGTTTTGTTTTGTTTTTAATCAGAAATAGGTAGTAACACCACAGTCCTTTATTTCTTTTCCACTGGGTACTACTTCTTAATTCTAGTGGGACAGTTGTCTATCTTATTGCTTCAGTTTGGTGCTAATTCATCTGGCAAACATTTAGTTTCAGAAATCTTAGTTTTCTCAGTGTAGTCAGGAAGATAGACTAGAGGTCAAAGGTCTCTGAGAGCCCCAGATACATGCTATGTTCGTGTACTAACACTCACACCTTCATTCAGGGGAGAGTTCTTCAGACACTCAGGTATATTTATTCTAGACTCAACATTCAATTTAAAATCTTCACTAATTTGGTTTCCTCCTCATCAGAAAGTATAATAAGGAATATATAAGCCTCCAGTTTTCAGTGTGACCCAGAAACCCTGCCTGCTTCTACATGCCCTGAAAGTACCACCACTTTCCAGCTGAGCCTCATGGCTGAGGTGTGTGAAGATGTGTGCTTTGGAGGCAAAGGCAGTGTGCTATGGGAGACAGGAAATAGGGGCTTATTTGGAACATTTACCTGGGATTTAAAGAGAATTTATGATAAATGAAAACAGATTCAGAAGTTTTATTAGACTAGTCAGTAAGGGTATTTATTAACGTGATTTCATAAGGAAGGGCATTTTAATGTTGAAAAATATGTAGGACTTTGCCAAATTGGTCAATGGCATGTGAAGCTTTGTGAAATTTATAAACTTGTGCTGGGGGAATTACTGGTTTGAGTCATTAATTTGATTCTTAAACAAATGCACAACACAGAGTGCAAAAGTTAGATAATATTTTAGGATAGAACTTGGGCATTTCTTATCTAGTTTCTAGGAGATAGGTGGTCACAATTTTTGGCTGTTAGGAAAAGCTGTGTAGGAAAATTTGAGAAATGATGTTTGTCATTGTTAAATCAAGCCCATGTCAGCCTCTTTAAGAAGTCAGGGAAGCAAGCATTCAAGAATATGGTGCACATTTCCAGGCTGGGGGATAAAAGGCAGCCATTTGTGGTTCATCTTTTGATGACTTTCTGTTTAGTTCCATGCCCCATTTTAAAATTGGGTTATTTGTTTTCTTGATGCTTAATTTTTTGAGTTCTTTGTCTATTGCAGATACTAACCCTCTGTCAGATATATGATAAGTAAAGGTTTTTCCCATTCTGTAGGCTATCTCTTCACTCAAATGATAGTGCCCTTTGCAGAAAAGAAACTTTTTAGTCCATGTCGTTCTCTTTGTCGATTGTTGATCTCAATGCCTTTGCTCTGCACCAGGTATTTGAGTCATAGAAAATAGAGAAATTTAGCTGGTACTCAACTGGAGGCTTTATTCCTATCAACTATCTGGTGCCAGGCAAACTACCAGAGGGAAAAGTAATCATTATCTCACCCAGCTCTGAACGCTATGAACTACAATAATGATCTACCTGGCAAATAATGTCCACTGGCATAATTGTGGAATGAACGCTATGGGAGTAACCAACCACTTTGTAAAGTAAAAATTGTATTTAAGGTCTGTTCCATGAGATGGAACCCATCCAAGAACCTGTGGCTAGACAGGTCATGGGCCCTAGAGGAAAACCTACTACTATTATTCTGCTGAATAGACTCAGGGACAAAATGACTCCTAATGACTTATTGCTGCATCCATTGATCAGGGCATCACTCAGCCTTCATTACAGAAGTTTTTTCTTGCCTTACAAGAATCTGTGTGGAAGAGGGGGTGGAAGAAATCTAAGAGCCAGCGGTGGTGGGTGATTGCAGGGAAACATAGGAAGCAGTGTTTTCCAGACCCAATAAGGCAGATGTACATATGAGGTCACAGGAATTGTGTCAGCATGAACAAGACCTGCATGAGCTCAAGCCAGACAAAGTTCCAGCATGGGGGAGGAGTAGGTAGTCACAAAGTCACACCCCTGGCTGAGGAGATATTGGCATTTGGTTGTTGCTGGGAGAAGGAAAGTAATTTTTCTAGAAAACATCCAGTGAGATGTAGCAGTGAGTTAATTTATGGTGATTCTTTGAGCCGAAAAATTCTAGCTTGTGTCCAGGGCTTATTTCTCTTTTGAAAGAGGAGAGAATGATTTGCTGTGAAAAGGATGTTCAACTCATCCTTCCCCAGGCAATCTCTACTGGCAGTTTCCTTCACTGTTGTAGTTCCTATGGCAGAAACAATGAACTATTAGAGTGGTAATCCCACAGCCAGCCAGCATTTCCTTCCATGTGGGAGGTGGGGGAGGGTGGCAGAGACCACTCCTGCACCAAAGAGCTTGTCGCATAGCTGCAGAGGGAAGGCCCAGCTGAGACAACAATACAAAACAGAAAGGACAGGGCTGAAGTAAAAAATGAAATGTGTTGTTTCCAAGTTCTGCAGGAAGTTTGCTGAGAGACTGACCATACTGCAGTAGCAGGAAGTTTTCAGGGGATAAGCTGGAAGCATGAGGAGGGTCTATGTTTAGCAAGTGGACAGAAGCAGAGAAGCCAACTGGGAGCACTCCCGTATTGGTGGTTGGTGGCCTGAATGGCAGTGATAGAGTCTGGATACTTAGAACTCATGGCAGGATATCAAGGGCACCAGAATTTGAATTCAAACCAAGGAAATGGAATAATTTTTAATAGATAAGTGACATGATGATCAGGAAATTTGACTCAAAGAGAAACAGCAAGAAAGGTGTGTGAGTAAATGAGTTATAGAGAGTCTCCACTGCTCAGGCAGCATTGGGTGCTCCAACAGATCTGGGCTGAGTACGCTTCCCCCAACACACATATCCAGAGGAAGGAAGATGATTCAGGGTTGGGTACCAGTCTTGTGTGATAGGACACTTGAGTGACCAGTGACACTTGACAATCTGACCTCAGGCATTTTTAGGGGATGTATTTGGTAAACAGAGTTTTGAGGTTCCCGGTCAGCCTTCCTCGCCAAGAAGTAAAGGGGGAATAGTGAAGGCTCTCTAATCTTTTCAGGGACACACGATCAGCCCACAGCAGCAGAAGCACTTCCTTGTAGTGCTCACTCATATTTGGCAAATATGTTTTTCTATCATGTTTTGTCTGATTTTATTCTGTCAAGTGCAAAACGCCAAGTACCGACGTGCGTCTACTTTCACTGACCTCTTGAAGCTGCTACTGAGTGAAGTCGCGTGGTGATAAAAGTGACATTAGACGTCTATGCAGACTTCTGGCCACCGAAATCTTTGCTTACTCTTTTCCCTTTCTTATATTACCTGAAAAGGAGAGTGACTATCCGAGAAGGTGCAGATATTGGATAGAGTGAGATCTTAATATCTCAAATAATGGAACTAAAAGGAACATATACTTGAAGGGGTCTAAGCCTTGTTCTTCCCTTGGTGTCTGTGGGAAATCTTTTTGAGATGGAAGCTTCTCATATTCAAACAGACTTCAAAGCAAGATGCCTTCATTCCCAGTTGAGAGTGGGCAGACCAGCAGCAGGCTGGCGTTGTTCGCACTGGATTTAGGAGAGGATAAGCAGCAAGATGGAGAATAGTGTGGGACCTACATGGATCTAAGGCCTCGACCCCTTTCCCGTTGCAGATTCTCTGTCCTTTTTTTCTTTAAGTCTTACCTTTCACACTTATGTAAGGTTTCCTTAGTTGAAAGGCTACCTGACTTAAGAAAAGCCAACCAATGTCCAAGTTTACCTCATTTTTTCTGCCATACGTTATCAGTTCAACACCTCAGTCTGAGTTATTCTCAAATCCAGCCTCGTTTCGTGTTTGCTGCTACAAAAGCTATCACACAGAACATCAAGCTTTGATCAAGACATTCAAGTGACAACTAAATCTACCACAAACTGAAAAGCACAAGAACTTCATGCCAGCTGCAAAAGCAACAGACATTGCTTTGAGCTTTGTGTTGTTTGGTAAATGGAGAATGAGTTTAGTTTGTAAAAGCAAATGGTGCTAAGAAACCTATGTATCAGAGAGGCAAGGACTCAAGAGTCGGGTAGAAGCAGCATCACTCAGGCCTTTGTGGGAGGGGTTTAGGAATGAAATACAAGGACCACTGAAAAGGCCCTTAAACATTTGTATAAATTCCTAGGTTGGTTTTTCCATACTAGTTTTATTATTTGGCCAAAGCTTATCAAAATATTATGGAAATACTAGTTTTCCCAAAGTTTCACCAACTAGAGGTTATCATTTTCAAGATTATGATTTTGAAATTGGAGAAGTTACCGCCTTTTCCGTCAGGTGGCATCCCTCATTGCTGCCCACCACTGTGCAGGCATGGGCTGTGTGGAGCAGGGCCCGAGAGAATTGTCTCCACTTGCACCATTGTGAAAATGGCTACAGTGAACGCATTGGAGCCAGGCCTCTCCACAGAGGATAGGTTCGTGTGTGAATGGGTTAGCAATCTGCGGCAAAGGAACAATCTGTGGTAATTTGAACTTTTGAATAACCAACTATAGTACAATGTTTGAAAAGCTGTAAAAAGACTTCCTCATAATTCACAATTGAAGATGAGACTTTTGTAATTTTGCCCCAAAGTGTTCCATTTTAAACATCTTATAGGTAAATAGAAGTAGATGGCAAGTATTTAAATCAGATTTGTTCTCAAACCTGCTTTAACTTGAGCAATTGCTGCAATAAAATTTCTTTAATATCTTTGTTTAACTGCCATTTATTAAAAAAAAACCTTAAATCTGAAGCTATTTCTAAAATTGAAGATTGAGCATAATTG